TTTTTATTTTTGCTCCTCAATTTCTTCTTGCACCAATGCTTAGACTACCCCCTAGAGAATGATTCTGAATTCAACACAGCATTTATTTATAGGTGGAGTACATTAATTGAGAAATAAATAATTCGAACGCAAAATAAATGAATATATTTTTTTGATTGCATAAAATATACAATTAAAATGTAGTGTTTTATTTAAATTTAAAACTGATACAGTCAGAATGTCACTTAAAACATAAATTGTTATTTATTAATATTTTTATGGCAATATATAATTACTTTTATTTTTTTTCTCGTCATAATTGAATCCAAGATTAGTATAATAGATTTTAATAATTTCATCGACACTATTCAGAATAGTTTCATGTAGAAAAACAAAATATGTGAATTCATCTTTGGATTTTTCATCTGGCTTTTCCATTAATTTTTCATGATGCTGTTTATTTAATTTATAATTTATTAACTCAAAAGTCTCTTTCTCATCAAAAGCACCTTCAAAAATATTTTTAATTTCACAACAGGACAATAAAATATATTCTGAAGAAACTAATTCTTTTATCAATTCTTTAAATGTGTTGAATGTAAAATCCAAATCAACACCTTCTAACGCTCTTGCGACTTTTGATTTATTAGAATTTAAGTTAAACTCAGACAATGAATCAATAAGACCACACGTTTCTGCTATAAATTGTCTTGGTCTTATTGACTTCATAAATACTAATGCGCTATGAAAGAGTATTAATACCTTCTTTACTTCTTCGAAAGTTAATATGAATACTTCCAAACGATCTTTTTGAGTCTCGCTAGAATCCTCACCATCGCCATACCATTCTTTGTTCATAAAAAATAACATGTAACCAATCCAGTGTACAATTTTTGCGTACTCAAAAGTTAACAATTGCAAACCCATTTTAAATTTATCAAACAAATTATATTCGGTAACAATATTCTCACTGTTGGAATCAGTTATGAGTAAATCTTTTGTTTCAAAGGATGTATCAATTTCGTCATCATACCACTTGTATGGATGATTGAATGTCCATTTTTCAGACTTAAGAAGTGAATTAAATATGTTAATAGCCCTCTCATATTTACACGATGTCAGTAAAAATACGTCGAACAAGATGAACGATAATGCTGCAATAGTGAACGATTTCATATTATTAGTAAAAACAATTAACAAAGTTCAATAGTAAAATTTTTATTTTTCTTAAGGAACTATCAAAAATGATACTATTTAACTATTTTGAACTGTAAATAAGAATTTTAAAATCTTTAAACATATATCGTTTCACGTCACTTTAATGTATTTGCTATAGTTAATAAATTTATATGATTTATTTTTTTGTTTATGAACATTTAACGCTGAGTATTTTTTTATCAAACTAAATAAAAAAATTCATTGCATTGCTTATTTACTACATTTGAATAATATAATGATATTTACTTATGATATGATTTTTCACCTATTAGCATTTTATATTTTTGATCTATAAATCATTTATAAGTATTCAAATGTATTATTTGGATAAAAAAATAGCTGTAGATAAATATTAAGGATATATTTCAAATGTACATTTCATGTTAACTGACATTATAAGTACTATAAATAATTATTTGAATTAAACATTTTCTGCAGTATTTCAGTATATTTTTAACTATATTGCTATATATTTTATTTCGAAATGTACTATAATTCATATTTTTACTCTATTATAAAAATAATATAGTATTATTGGTATTCACTTAAAATAGTTTTAGTTTGAAGCACCAACGATATACAAGAATTAGTTAATATACGTTTTTAACAAAATTTATTTTAATATTTGGTAAAAATAGAGAAACCCTAAAGGCTACCGCATTCATCTAGTCTAAATTGTTAAATACAAGTAACTAAATAATTACTTTAAAATTAGTTATTGACTAGTTGTATCCCTTAAAAATTAATAAAAATTAAATGTAAATTTATATAGAAATATTTTTAAGGAACGGAAAAATTAAATTAAATCCTACACATTGTTTAAATTGCGCCTTTGTCCACAACAACAAAAAAAAAAAATTATGTTTATGAGACACAATTTAAAAAGAGGAATAAAAAATTTTCTTGCGTAGAACTCTCCAAAAAAAATTCAAAAAACTAATGTTTGAACAAATTTCAGAAAATTATTTAACAATTATTAGGAATAATAAATTAAATGTACTTTTATAATTGAAGGTATAAATTAGTAAATATTAGTGTTTAAAAATATTAGATTAGTAAGAATAAATAAGCTAAAACTCAATAAACACTCTGATTGTTTCGCAAAAATGTATTTTTCAATTATTTAAATGTATAGTAAGAAAAAATTATTTTTAAAAAGAAATCATAATATGGTGTAGCTACATAAATAATTTCAAAGTATAAATTTATAAGAAAATAATAATAAGTATAAATAACATTATTATTAATATCATCTTATTATCAAGACAAATGATAAAAAATAAAAAATCACAATAACAATTTGAACTTTTATTAGACCTAAAAAAATGAGATTTATAGCTTTTTTGAAAAGGGTTATGTTTAAACACCAAAAATTTCAACATTTGTATTGGTCACATGGGCTTATTTTAAATTGATTACTAGTTTTGTCTATGTCTGTTAAAATACAATTAACCAAATCAATCTTCTTTTATTTAAATTTAGACTGGAGAAGCTATTTATTTTTTCTAATTGTGATGTTAAATTGGATTTAAATAAATAAAGTTAAATTATAATTTATAATTTACTAAGTTTTAATAGTAAATTTAGTTAAGTTACTAGATACTTCAAATTGTAATAATAACTTTTTAATCTAAGATAGGATAGCTAATAGAAATATTTTTCTTTCCGTATAATAAATAATTTTCTTTTTAATTCGAAAGAAAGAAAAAATTCTAAATATCTACTATAAAAACTACAATAAGGAAATCTATAACACATAAATACCACAAAATTCTGTCTTTGGTGTTCAAGACGTAGACAATTCAATAACTACAGACGATTATAATTCATATATTTTTTTAATTATTTTAAATTTTTCAGAAAAGTTAATTTACCCTTATACCCGTGAAAGAGCACTCGCCTGTCATGAAATGTTAAAAAAATTATAGTGTATGTACCTATTACCAGATGAGTAATTTCAGATTTTACTAGGTTGGGGCAAATTTTTTAACAGCCCATTATTTCACGAAGCCGCTATTTCATTCATAGTTTATTCCCTAAAAACTCATACTTATTAAATTTTATATGAAAATTGATAAACATAATGTTTTTTAAAATAATTTTAACAATAATAAGTAAAAAAACGGTAGTACAGTGGGGTCGAGGCACAGTGTGGACGAGGCATAGATGGGACAAGTATAGATGATATCTGACAGTGATTAAAATCACTATCATAAGAAACGCTTCGATGCAAATCTGTAGATAGTGTTTCTTTAGAGAAATTGGTGGATTATTCCAAAAGAAACATCAACTCTTATTTCTTTGATTATATCCTAATTAGTAGGGTTAATTGGTTAGGTTTCAAAAACTTCATCGAGATTTGATTGTTCTTGTTGCAGTCTACTTTGGATCTGTTTTTTTATAATAAAAGTAAAATAATTTTAAATACTAATAACATTCAATTTATATTTATATTTTATACATAGGTTCGATACTCGCCTCCCTTTATGAAAAAATAGCTCAATAGGCTTTGTAGCATTGTATATGTTTGGCAACTTCATATACTATAATCATAAAAAATTAAACAATTTATATAATATATATTATGTAATAATATTTTTTCGAATTTCACCACATTATATTAGGTTAAAACTTTTTGATTTATTTTAATTGAATACCATAAACAAAATGGAAAACATCTACATTTGCCAATATCCTATTAGATCTTAATAATCATTAGTACACACAAGTCATAAAGGTGTATTATATTACGAAATGTATACTGGTTTTCTATTTAAAAAATATCAACATAAGATAACTACGGGCTGGGTTAGTTAGGTTTCAAGACCTTCATCGAGATTTGATTGTTCTTGATGCAGTCTACTTTGGGTCTGTTTTTTTATAATAAAAGTAAAATAATTTTAAATACTAATAGCATTCAATTTATATTTATATTTTATACACATATGTTTAATTTTATTTATGTCAACAATATCATTGTATTAATGTTATCGTTAATATAGCATAATTTATGTTTATAAGTGTATATATTTTTTCATGTAGCTGTTTATAAAGGGATAGAGTGATGGAATGGATAGTGCGACGATTGCACCAACACCACATAGGTTAGATACTCGCCTCCCTCTATGAAAAAATAGCTCAATAGGCTTTGTAGCATTCTATATGTTTGGCAACATCAGTTGACCAAGTTCTGCTCCAACTGAATGTGTTCCTAAAGTATCTACCATATAATAAAAGTATCATTAGTCAGTTTTTTTTTTTAAACACAGTCGCGGTGGGTCTTCCATCCCATCACGTGATACAATTGTCGTTGGTTAACGTCAACGAATTTTAGCGTTTGTAATGTCCACAGGTCTACACCGCTTTCCTAACAATACCCAATTTTTTTTATATAAATAACGTCTGCGGCCGTGGTCAGAGTAGGGTTTACTCATTAAACATTTAGCAGCAGAAAATCGTTAGATCTTAATAATCATTAGTACACACACACACACAAGTGATAAGTGTGTATTTATAACAAAGATTACATTTATACATAGTGTACATAGAAATTTCCATTGGTTGAATATTATACATTCATAACGTGGTCGTGGCCCGAGACAAGATAAACAATATAATGTGACTGCGGGGAGTAGTCGTCAACAACAAATACATTACCGGATCGCGTCAACTTTCTGGCGGAACTTAAACGGTCGGGCAGGTAAGAAATGGACGTCGGGGCATTTGCGTATAGAGGTGTGGCGCACACAATACCCGCGGACGCGACGTGTACTTTTCCACGTACAAGGATTAGCACGAACTCTGTCTGGGAAATGATTTTTCTTTTTTAAGTAGTAATACAACGACACACGTAATAGGACTAACGTCAACAAGTACAGCCTAAGACTAGTAGGGTGAACAGTAGTAAGGGCCACACGATGACGCCACGCAGCCATCGCACGGATTTTACCGTCGCACAAGGGCCATCGTGTGCGTAGCACAATGTTAGGCCGCAATTGGTGACTTCATCTCAGGACAAAATTCGTCATCGCCCGTTTGACGTCATAGAAATCTTAGGACACGAGGACGTCATCACCTTGTGACATCAACGACCTTGTTCTTGTCCTAGTATCCGCTATACTATACCCACTAGCTAGCAAAAACTATTTTATGGGACTTTCTAAACAGACATAAAAAAACAAAATTCATTACAATACCAATATATTCATAGCTACGCATTGAAACTAAATAAACCTATCATAAGGATGTTTAAAAAATCTAATATATTGAACGTATTATAAAAATTGATTATAATTGTAAAATTCATAGTAATTTCAGTTGATAACCAAAATCTTTTTTTTTTCTTAGAAATGATTTATACAATAACGTGTTATCAAAAAAATTATAACACTATAAATTGGTAGGAGACAACACAAATAGAGTCGATGAAATTTATTTAAAACAAAGTAAATTATTTAACTTTGTAATTGAATCTTAATACATGTTGCTGAGAAAAAAGTATGATGGATACAAAAAAAAAACACATAATAAAATATTTTTAATATGATTAAGAAATTCATTCTCATAGGAAGAGACTACAGTGATAGGGTGGTCCTTGATATTTTTTGAAGTTATTCAATCTAAATAAGATAAATATCAAATGAATTTTGAAATTTTTTCTATGCTCAAAAGAATTAGGATAAAAGTACAAAAAATGTCATTGTGACGAGCAGATTTCGAATCTTGTATCGTTAAACAAAATACATTAGCCTTACTGACTGGGCAATCGTACAACGCACTTATTGGTGGACAGAAAAGATAATTTAATATAATTTAAATTTGAGTCTTTTTTCTCGACTATAAAGAAGCAAAAAATTTAAAATATGTTTAAGTGTATGTTCAATGATTCATATAGATTTATATCTTATATAATATAGATCTTATAAAAATCGGACCCCTCAATACTATAGTTACCTCTTTTAAGATTGTGACTAAAGTATTATAGCAACTCCTCATTATTATTATTCGAAAATAAAATAATTTTTAGTTGTATATTTTTTAATAAGTAACGGAGTAAAATTGAAAAAAACAATGTGCACAAAGAAAATTCTATATTAAATATTTTTGGAAGAGAACCCTATTCCAAATAAATTACAACCCAACGTTTTTTATGACATTGGAAAACATACAAAATTGAAAAAAATTTCTTTATAGAAATATTTTTTAAAGTTGTACAATTTTATAGTCAAAATAAACGTTTGCGAAGCTTTAATTTAAGATATATATATATAAACGTGTTGGAATTTCCGCATCAATTTAAAAAGTTCAGTTAAATTTTTCTCCAAAAGTTGCCATTTTGAATAATAAACCCCTGTGCTTAGGTAAAGAGTCAGATTTTCAAACTATACCAAATGGTAGGTTGGTAAATACCTATTGTATCATAAAAGTCATTAATACATTAATTTTTAAAAAAGTTATGTCAGTTATAAGTAATAAATGTCGATTAACATTTATGGATAACGTGGGAAAATTTTTCAATTATTTAGTGTAAGGTCAACAGATACGATTATTATCGCAATTATAACTGTAAGATACGATATGTGACATTTTAACATATTCATAAAATTCGTCTAGTGAAAGCTGAGAATAAGTAGTAATAGACACAAAAAAAAAAACATCATAATAAAATTAATGCCTTTTCAGCAAAAAACATTTGCAATGAAAATTATACAAATCAGAGTTATATATCAAAAGTAAAATAAACTTTTCCATTATTTTAAATAAATAATAATTGATTATAAATTATAATAATTATTAATTAATATATTATTTTATTTATGTTATTACACAGTATTACACAGTATTATACTGTAGTTATTCACGTATTTTGTTACTTGTTATTAATTAACATTAATATTTAACTATTTCACAATACTAAAATTTCCTAGAAATCATCATCATTTAATAATTATGTTAATAATAAGAATTGATCTCTTGGGTAAAAAAAAATTTTTAATTAAAAATATATTTTTAATATTAATTTAAAACTAAAAATAAATATTATAGTATGGTTTAGCGCTGATAATGATAAAATTGTTCCCAAAACACATTTATCAGATTTTTTAGTATTTTTGTGGCTTTTTAATTTAAATTTTAATTGGATAAAATATTATTATTTTTAAAGAAACTCTGTATTATTTTTGTTTATTACTACATTGAGCATAGTCTATCTGTAATTTTAAACGTAAAAGATACATTTAATTACTCAATTATCTTAAAAATACATATATAAAAAAAAGCGGCTCAAAAAAATAGGAGTTTTATAATTTATTAAACATTCTGTGTAACAGCTTTTTCTGCTCATGCAATGAAAACTTAAGTTAATATAAGTTTATATACCCAATTATACATTAAATGTTAAATCCAGATATACTTCAGAGGAGGTTAGAGCCCCGCTTAACTTTTTTGCCTCTTTCCTCTTATAATTCACAGAGTGACAACGAGAACATAGCTCTTTTCAAAAATTGAGGCAATATTTTGTTTAATATAGAGTTTTTATTTTTGCTCCTCAATTTCTTCTTACACAAATGCTTAGACTACCCCCTAGAGAATGATTCTGAATTCAACACAGCATTTATTTATAGGTGGAGTACATTAATTGAGAAATAAATAATTCGAACGCAAAATAAATGAATATATTTTTTTGATTGCATAAAATATACAATTAAAATGTAGTGTTTTATTTAAATTTGAAACTGATACAGTCAGAATGTCACTTAAAACATAAATTGTTATTTATTAATATTTTTATGGCAATATATAATTACTTTTATTTTTTTTCTCGTCATAATTGAATCCAAGATTAGTATAATAGATTGTAATAATTTCATCGACACTATTCAGAATAGTTTCATGTAAAAAAACAAAATATGTGAATTCATCTTTGGATTTTTCATCTGGCTTTTCCATTAATTTTTTATGATACTGTTCATCTAATTTATCATTTACTAAATCATGAGTATCTACACCTACAAAAATATTTTTAATTTCACAACAGGACAATAAAATATGTTCTGAAGAAACTAATTCTTTTATCAATTCTTCAAGTGTGTTGAATGTAAAATCCAAATCAACAACTTTTAACGCTCTTGCGACTTTTCGTTTAATATTTTTATGATTTAACCTAGACAATATATTAATAAGCTCCTTCGTTTGTACTACAAATGGACTTGGTTCTATTTTCTTCATAAATTTTAATGCGCTACAAAAGCGTGTTAATACCCTATTTACTTCTTTGTAAGTTAATTTGAATGTTTTCAAACGTTCTTTAGTCTCGCTATAAATCTCACCATCGCCATACAATTTTTTGTTCATAAAAGATAACGTGCTACTAATCCAGTGTACAATTTTTGCGTACTCAAAAGTTAACAATTGCAAACCCATTTTTAATTTATTAAATACATTTTCTTCGGTAACAATATTCTCACTGTTGGAATCAGTTATGAGTAAATCTTCTGTTTCAAAGGACGTATCAATTTCGGCATCATACCACTTGTATGCATGATTGAATGTCCATCTTTCAGACATAAGAACTGAATTCAATATATTAATAACTATCTCCTCATAACACGATGTCAATAAAAACACATTGAACAAGATGAACGATAATGCTACAATAGTGAACGATTTCATATTATTTGTAAAAACAATTAACAAAGTTCAATAGTAAAATTTTTATTTTTCTTAGGGAACTATCAAAAATGATACTATTTAACTATTTTGAACTGTAAATAAGAATTTTAAAATCTTTAATCATATATCGTTTCACGTCACTTTAATGTATTTGCTATAGTTAATAAATTTATATGATTTATTTTTTTGCTTATGAACATTTTAACACTGAGTATTTTTTTATCAACCTAAAAAAAAAATTAATTTCAATGTCATTTACTACATTTGAATAATATAATTATACTTACTTATGATATGAATTTTCACCTTTTAGCATTTTATATTTTTGATCTATAAATAATTTATTCAAATATATTTGACACGGCCCGCGTCGCTTCGTTAAACACGATGTCCCGCGACTCGTGCCACCTTTATCAGCCGTCGCCCTACTACGAGTATTTGACAGACCAACATCGCGTGCCATACGTCACGGTGCAAAGTCCAGCAAATGCCGCACGGCCGAAGACGACCCGCCGCAAATGGTGCCAGAGTCTTCCTCCCGTTGTGAAGCGACAACGTCGACCAACCGAACCGCACCCGCGCATCGTCGCCTACAACGCTGCTAACCATTTGCCGTCCAAGGATTGCGCCGGACATGGCGTCGTCGACGCCAGCGAAAGTGCCGCTATATTATGCGAAGATTATTGTTACTGTGTTTATCTTTTCGGTTTGTTTTATTTTTAACACACTTATATTAGTTTCACCTGTATGTATGTTTGTATGTATAATGTATGTAACTCTTCAAACGCCACGCGTTATCGCCTATCCCGTCGTCTATGGCCTTGAGACTAGACTGTCGTAACGCATTCACCTCTCCCCACGCCACGCTCATCATACGACGGCACACTATTCCTATAAAAATTTATTTTTAGTTATCGTACCCGTACACGCGTGCTTGTCATCAATATTATACATATATATATAAACAAATTTTTATTTTGACTGACCAATAACGCCCGCGTCTAATGCGCCTTACGTATATATTCGTACCGCCGTTAATACCTCAGGTATAATGTTAGTCCGACCCACCCCCCCACAAAACACAGCTATACATAGTGCATGATACTTTTACGTAGTTAAGTCGCATTATTTGTATATATATATATTCTAATTACTATTAAAATTTATATATTAACACGATTTATTCTAATTAAGAGATATAAAGTATTCATTCCGATTACGAGGGATGATTTCCGTATCGTCATTTTTCGTCACTACCTCCACGTTCCGGGAGTGAGTAATTTGCGGGCCTGCTGCTTTCCTTGGATGTGGTAGCCGTTTCTCAGACTCCCTTCCCGGAATCGAACCCTGATTTCCCGTTACCCGTAACAACCATGATATTGATAGTAACTACTATCATAACATGAAACTAAAAAGTAAAAAATAAATATAGTTTAAAAAACTAAAAAAACACGCTTTTAAAGCACATCGAACTAAAAAGTTAAAAATAATTTTTAAAATAATTATGAACAAAAAATACTAGTATTATTGTGATAAAAGCGTCGGGCGCTCAATATACGAAAAATATGGCACAAAGCACCCACGCTTTTATCACAATAATACTAGTATTTTTTGTTCATAATTATTTTAAAAATTATTTTTAACTTTTTAGTTCGATGTACTTTAAAAGCGTGTTTTTTTAGTTTTTTAAACTATATTTATTATTAAAATAATATGTTGTCGCTCATTTAATAAACGGCCCACGGGTCTCTACCTTCAAAACCAGTGTCGACCACATTTTTGCGACATAAGTCGTGTCATATTATTTGGATAAAAGAATAGCTGTAGATAAATATTAAAGATATATTTCAAGTGTACATTTCATGTTAACTGGCATTATAGGCACTATAAATAATTATTTGAATTAAACATTTTCTGCAGTATTTCAGTATATTTTTAACTATATTGCTAGATATTTTTTGTATGATTTATGTTTTTAAGATAAATGATTGTTTTAATGTATTTACTGTAGTATAATAATAAACTTATATGATTTATACTTGGACACTGAGCATTTTTTTTTTAACGATTAAAATAAAATATTTACCGCAATGCTTATTTGCTACATTTTGAAATGTACTATAATTCATATTTTTACACTATTATAAAAATAATATAGTATTATTGGTATTCACTTAAAATATTTTTAGTTTGAAGCACCAACGACATACAAGAAGTAGTTAATATACATTTTTAACAAAATTTATTTTAATATTTGGTAAAAATATAGAAACCCTAAATGCTACCGCATTTATCTAGTCTAAATTTTTAAATGAAAGTAACTAAATAATTACTTTAAAATTATTTATTGACTAATCGCAGCCCTTAAAAATTAATGAAAATTACATGTAAATTTGGTGTTTAAAAATATTGGATTTATAAGAATATATAATTTAGCTAAAACTCAATTAACACTCTGATTGTTTCGCAAAAATGTATTTTTCAATTATTTAAATGTATAGTAAGAAAAATTTATTTTTAAAAAGAAATCATAATATGGTGTAGCTACATAAATAATTTCAAAGTATAAATTTATAAGAAAATAATAATAAGTATAAATAACATTATTATTAATATCATCTTATTATCAAGACAAATGATAAAAAATAAAAAATTATAATAACAATTTGAACTTTTATTAGACCTAAAAAAATGAGATTTATAGCTTTTTTGAACAGGGTTATGTTTAAACAGCAAAAATTTCAACATTTGTATTGGTCACATGGGCCTATTTTAAATTGATTACTAGTTTTGTCTATGTCTGTTAAAACACAATTAACCAAATCAATCTTCTTTTATTTAAATTTAGACTGGAGAAGCTATTTATTTTTTCTAATAGTGATGTTAAATTGGATTTAAACAAATAAAGTAAAAATTATAATTTATAATTTACTAAGTTTTAATAGTAAATTTAGTTAAGTTACTAGATACTTCAAATTGTAATAATAACTTTTTAATCTAAGATAGCTTAGCTAATAGAAATTATTTTCTTTCCGTATAATAAATAATTTTCTTTTTAATTCGAAAGAAAGAAAAAATTCTAAATATCTACTATAAAAACTACAATANCTTTTTTCATTCGAAAGAAAGAAAAAATTCTAAATATCTACTATAAAAACTACAATAAGGAAATCTATAACACATAAATACCACAAAATTCTGTCTTTGGTGTTTAAGACGTAGACAGTTCAATAACTACACACGATTATAATTCATATATTTTTTTAATTATTTTTAATTTTTCAGAAAATTTAATTTACCCTTATACCCGTGAAAGAGCACTCGCCTGTCATGAAATGTTAAAAAAATTATAATGTATGTACCTATTACCAGATGAGTAATTTCAGATTTTACTAGGTTGGGGCAAATATTTAAACAGCCCATTTTTTCACGAAGCCGCTATTTTCACTCATAGTTCATTCCCTAAAAACTCATACCTATTAAATTTTATATGAAAATTGAAAAACATAATGTTTTCTAAAATCATTTTAACAATTATAAGTAAAAAAATTTTAAATATTGTATTGTATCTCATTATGGTTATGAATAACAGAGATATTGTTAAAAACGAGTTTTTATAATATTTTAAATATAAAATATTAAGCGTCTTTATTTTTTTCGTTGTTACTACATTTTCTTAGATTGTTATATATTTGTTTTAATGATAAACAGGTTTTTCAACGTAGGAGCGCGGGAACTATCGGCCCCAATTTTCTTTAAAAATTAGACTAGACCAAGTTACTACCCCTCCGAAAACGGTCCCACCCATTACTTTTAGAAAATAACATTTATAATATATACATATTTTTTATCACATTTTTTCACGTGCACATAAACAGATGTAGTCATCGCTAAACTGAATTTTTTTTAATAAATGAGTATTAGACTTTGTTGTTTAACTTAGCTATAATTCATTTTTATGCTGCTTGTTCATTATTTAAAATAATAAAGTAATGTTTTAAAAATATAATAACTAAAAAATGGCAAATTGTTCGAAAATAATTTTAAATCGCACTTATACTTTTTTTACAAAAATGATATAATATTTTTGTTTTACGACGTAAGGTTTTAATTTGAGCGTGAATAAATAAATACATTTTTTCTTATTGTAATAGCTAAAAAAAATATTGAGAGTAAAATGTATTTGAAATTATAATTTTATTCAATTTAGAGGAATGTAAGATAGAGTTTTAAATAAAAATAAATGAGAAAAGTTGATTTTTTTATTATTTATATATAAAATTTTTATATAAAAAATTATTTACTCATAATTAGTTGAACTAGCTTAGTTACTAAAAATAACTAATAATTCTCCAGAAACATACCTTAAAGATGGTGTCAAGGATGATTTTCCGCTATAAATATTTTTACACTACAATTTTTGTCAACTTATCCCATTAAAATATTATTTTGCTCTACATCTGGGAAAAGGTGATTAATTTGTCTTTTTTCTAATTAATTAATAATTTTTAACATAATTAATGAGCTTTTAACAATATTTAACAACTTGATACAAGTTGGCATTGTCTTTATTACAATTATTAAAGAGTTTCTTAGTAAAAATTGATTTTTGGTCTAATATTATTAGATCTATTACATTGTATTATTGTCATATTATAAGCATTCATACAATTTATTTCTAATCCCACAACTAGGTAACACTTATCAATAGTTACAAACAAAATTGATTACATAATTTCAAGCGTGGCTAGAAATTTTTTTTTTTGATCTAAGGAAATGGAATACCTTACGTACTAAACACTATTTACATCAACTATTTCCAATATAGTTGATAAAAATATTTTAAATTTGTCCTGAAGACTTTATTTCAATACTATACTAAATAGTTTGTAAACCATAATTGAACTTACAAAAAAATAAAATGGTAGCACTGTGATGACGTGGCATAGTTGGGACAAGTACAGATGATATTTTAAAGTAAATCACTATCATAAGAAACGCTCCTATGTAAAACTGTGGATAGAATTTAATTTTAAGAAAATATCCACCATTTTCTTAAAATTAAATTCTATATTCCAAAAGTTAAATAAAATCTTATTTTCTTAATTATATCCTGATTTCAAGTTTTATGGCATGTGAGTGTAATATATGAATAAATATAAAATAAATTTCGTCGTCGGGACATATTTATTTTTTTAATTTATAGTTAGTAACATAAATTTATAAAAAAGTGTATATCAAATGAAAGGAAAATAGCTAAGGTTTCTATGTATAAAAACTATTTTGATTCATTCATTTTTAAAAAAATTATAGCAGTTAAAAAAAAAATGAAAAAATGGCAAAAGTTACCGATTTTAAAAATTGTAATTTTTCGGGGGATTTCCTCCATTTATAAGGCAATGTTAGTCTTGTAAATGTTTGGAAAATTTTTAAGGGCAATGCACAGTGGTCTGAAAAATTGAATTTTAAGCGCTCATAAGATTATAAAAAAATAAGACTTCACCACACTAGAAAAAGTTCGAGGTATAATACCAATGAAGATTTGATGCATATGCTATTAGTATCAAGTGATTCATATATATCTTCAATGAAATTATTTTCAAAAAAAAGTATAAATAAATTTTCTATTGATGTGCAAAATTTA